TAACTAAACTTGGTCCGACCCGGAACTCGAACCCAAGACCTTCGGGTGTGCAGCCGTACATGCTAGCCACTACACCGCCGAGGCAGTTAAATACAATATATGTAGTTTAAATATCTATACTTTATACCTGATTACTACTTCAGTATCTTCAATAAGAACTCAAAAAGCATGTCACACTAGCGTGTATCGTATGACGAGGTCTGGCCAACTTTGTTATGTCATCCCGATGTAATCGTCTTATTGCTAATAAGGAACTGCCTGTCCTGGTAATGTTTTCTTTATTCCATTGACATATTTAACAATAGCCAGCAGGTTAATAGGCAATTATCTTGGATTATGATGTAAGCGCACTGTACGCTAAGCTAGATGGGGATATGTAAATTTTGCATATATTTAGAGACTAGTGTCTCAACCTTACTTTCCTTGGGGAAATTTTTAACCGACTTCCAAAAAGGAGTAGGTTCTCAATTCGTAGGAATCTTTTTTTTTTGCAATATACTAATTATATCCCATGAAAGTTATTTTAATGTATCTATATACCAATAAAAATAAGTAGTATACTCCTCGATGTATAAATATTGTCTAAGCAAAATAATTTTTTTTTCTTTTTGTTGCTGCGTAAAGAAGAAATATTAATAATAGGTCTAATACTTCATACTTGTTCGGTTTTATCTTTATTTTTGACCGACTTAAAAATGGTGAAGGTATTTTATGTCTGTACGTATGTATGTTACGCAATATCTTCAATAATATCTCAAAAATATCTTTAAAAAAATCCACCATTATTTTAAAGTCTATGTTAATCGTTTTATGTTAAAAAATAATTATTTTTGATCCACATCAGAGGCGAGTGATGAATGGGATCAATTGCCTCGAAAATATTTGACTTATATTAAGAATTCCATATCTATTCTTATTCAAATCTTTATTTCCTGTTTCACATATATAGAGCAATTGTTGGGAGCATTTACTCTAGTTTTGTTTAACAGATCTCTCTCGTGCTTTTCGATGCATGCCTTACTAACAAATCACAAATTATCTTTTACAAAACATATAAATAAATAAATAATAAATATGTTGGAACATTAACACGCAGTACCATTTAGTTTAATTAAAAGCTACGAGGGTTGTGTTATGGATACCAGATAGTTGATACACTGCACATATATAACTTTAAATACATACATATTATAAATATAAACACCCATGACTGGGAGTACAAACATTCGTGCTCATCACACAAAATTGAATGCCCCCAGAGGGACTCGAACCTGCGCCCGCTGGCACAGCAAGTAGGGTCACTACAAACTGAGATAAACGTGACATCAAAATAAAATATAATCAATTATGAATATATCTAAAGACATGATATTATTCTTTCTCTATTTTTCTCACAGGGCTGGTAGAGTTTTTAACTTACAAGAGATTTTCTTTATCGAAAAAAAAATTAATTTTAACTTGTACAATATAATAATCAAAATGAGTTGTAAATAGTCTTACTGAAGCACTTTGCAACTAAAGGATAGAACTTTGAATGGAATTGAAACAAATGCGTCCTCCGAGACAGATCACGCGTGTTCGCTAAGCGCTAACGTAATTGTGCCCGTTTGTCTTCACGCTGCAGATTGCGCAACTTTAAAATGTTAATGAGCAGAGATGCAACGTTTAATGTTTCTCCTGAGGGCTGTATATACAAAATACTGTACTTATTTATAAAATACTACTGTGGGGCTTGAAATTATGGACTTATTGAATAAAAGATATCCTGTATCCAGATTTATTTAAATTTTTGGTTCCCGACGCTTAGAAAAATCAAAAAAATATACTCAAAAAACCAAATTAAAACAAATCCGCGAAAAAATCCGAAAAGATAGTTTTATTTAAAATGTTAAATATTCGCGTAAATCTAAGAAAGTATTACATCTTGTAGAAATATTAAGAATTTAAGACTCAAGCTAAAATGTTAAATTTAATATTAATTTCGAGTGCTAGTTAAACATTAGAAGATTATTTTACCAATGTCATGAATGGAGAAAACATGAGAGATGTGAAACTTCCTAAGTAGGATTTTTCTAATCTATAAAGTCACGATAGAAAAAGTAAGTATTTAACAGAAATAAATATAGGGTTAAATAGAGACTTTGTACCAACGGCTTGTCTTTCCATTATTTCGTATATTGCTGGTTCGATTCCCACGTAGTATTAATATGTATGTATTCGAATCAAAAGAGCTATCAGATAGATATCGTTAAATTGTTAAAAATAAAATTATGTAAATAGAAAAATGAAAAAATAAATTATATATCTATAGGTAGGTACATATTATGGTGTACTAACAAACATTAAAATAAAAACATTCATAACACTATAGTTTAACGATTCATAGAGTATCTGCATATGAGCCCATCCACGTTTATGGCATAACTTTCAACCCATTACTATTTATGGACAGACACTTTTATGAATCCAATTAAGCGATCGTAACGCAGGGATAAAAATTACTTTCAAAGTCATTTAGATATTGATAAAAAACACTGTGCGTTCTCTCTGTAGTCTCCACTGTACATGAAAGGATTTGATAAAACTCTTTTAAAGTTTATTATTAACTGAATATTAGATAGATAGATATTAAGTTGTATATAAAAAACTAAAAAAATAAAAACCGAATTCCAGGCACTAAAATATAAATAATAACTAAACGGGGGTTTTCATTTAGAATAGATACCTAATCAGATATTTTCTAAGTCGGTGCCAGCCGATGCAAAGTAAATCTAATATATGTATTTCGATACGTAAAATACATCACAAATTGATGAATAATATTTTAACTATAATTAGAGTTCATACCTAACCATATTTACCTATTAGATATTCATATCTTAAAATATTGTCGGTTGACACTGACTTCGAAAATATCTGATTTTCAGGCATAAGTATATATATATATATATATATATATATATATATATATATATATATATATCATACTAGCGACTCACCCTTGCTTCGTTTCGACTTCGTCTCTAGACAAAAACATATCTATCCAACGGGAACTGTACATTTTTCAAAATAAAAAATAACCTTTATACTATTTCAGACTATAATCTATCTCTATGCCTTTCATCCAGATCCGTTTAGCCGTTCTGGCGTAAGATAGTAAAAAACATTCATCCACCCATCCATCCTCTCAAACTTTGATATTTATTATAATAGTAGGATTAACTCAACAACCATCTTATTAGAAAGAACAAAGGCGCCTCTAAATACCTCTTTCGCATCTTAATATTGAAAAAAGCCTTAAATCAATTCAATCTATACGTATTAATGCTTTACGAGTGTCCGTCGGTGACGCGGAACGTTTTTGTGGCACTTGCGGCTGCCATCCGATTCTTAATGCCTCTATTAAAAAGATTAATTACCCTAGAGCCAAGACTAAAAAACATCCAAGTTTTTTCCATTCTATACAAATTTAATTAATATTGATACAGATCTAAGGGACTATGTAGCGAGAGTTATGTTATGATGTACAATTTGTTTTAGTAACTTGATATTTCAATTCGATTACTTATTTTATATTAGTTAGGTGGGTAGTTAAAATTTTAAATATGTTATCTGATGTTCATTATAGCTGGTCAGCTAGTATAGATGGCTTGGAATTTATTTAGATATCTTATTTTATAAGATTTCGTTATCATATTTTATGAATCAGTAAATAAAAATATTCATAAAATTATATTTATCATTTTTAATTAAGATAATATGTTAAAACCAGTTAGATTCTACAATTTTATCAGGCATCGTTGTATTTTACCAAATTTTATATATATAATATAGATTTTATAGTATAAATAATAATAGTATAATAAATATTATAATATAAAGTAAAGAAAACATAAGCACAAAAATTTCTAAGAAAAGCTTTTAATAATATCATGTTTTATACAGTTATGTCTTCCCAAGTATATTTAGTAGAAACCATTTAAAAAAGAGATAGGCGGGATGTCAACTATCCCATCCCTCGCATCTTGACTAGCGTTCATCCCCAACCCCTCTTCCGCGCGAGTTACTACAATTTACCGACTCCTCGCTTTAATCTGCTCACATCTTGATAAAAATGTTATATGTCATTACTAAAAAAGCTTCCACTAGATAAATAAGACGCCTTGAGCTTTTAAATTAAGAGAGTCAAGTTACATTAAGCTTCATTTAAAGTTGACTTAATCAACTTTGAAAGAAAGTAACACTAACAATGTTAAGACGTACAATTTGCCTTTTTTTTAGAATTTTATAAAAATAACAACTTGCTAATAATAACTTTGAGTCAAATATAATAAAGATTCCTTAATAAAATGAGCTTTAAAAGTATTTTTTCCAAAAAAAGTTTTTTTTAAATTAATTTCGATGATTGCTTCGCATGATCTGTCTTTTTTCCAAAATTTAAATTTAGCTTGAAATTTCAAAAACTTTCTAGCATCAATTGAATGATAGTAGCATGTAACTTGTTTTATGATAGAATAATAATGTGGTACCATGGAGCTTATGATTTGGTAGAGTTAAGATAGAGAGATAGGATACCATAAAAAAAGTTAAAACACGAAAACTTCACCTCTACTATATTAAAACTTGCTCTTTTTGAAAAGACTTTTTACGTTTATTATTCTGATTTTCCCGAATACCATCGTTTAAAGCGAGTTGATCCCAACCGTTGTCGCATCAACGTATCGTATTCCAGACAGTGGCGTGCCGCCTGCCGACGAGGGAGGACGTGTACTTGAGCCCCCCGCGAACACAGTCGAGAGCGAATACGATCGCATTTCAAAACAACGATATCATCATACGCGACAATACATTCTTTATATGAAGTTGCCGTAGTGAGTTCGATTTGTGCTGAAATAAGTTCATTTTCATTATCGTAGATAAAGTCGAAACTAATGTGTACCTGATATTTTTAAAGTCTAAAGTGACGCCGAGCCCATGATATTACAACCATGATATTCAAAATGGGAGGGAAACCTCCAGGCAAGAGTCCTCCAGAGAAAAGAGAGAAAAAAGAGAAGGAGGTAGACAATTGTGAGAAATGCCCAGAACCCTGGGTGTACTGTGTGGTGTTATATTGTGCATGTGCGATGAGTCTCATATCGAGTGGATACAGCCTATATAAGCAACAGGGGGTGCAGGATAGGTTGTCTCTTCTGGAAGAACAGCATCTAGCTCTAAGGAGTGCGGTCCTGGAGCCACAGCAACCCTTGGTAGAAAGGCTGAGAAGAGAAGTCTACTCTAGACCCTCAAGTTATTGGAGGCAAAGGAGGAGTATTCGAGACTATGGCGATTGCGTTTGTCCACCAGGTATTTGAAAGTTTTATACAAATCTAATATTAATAAGAAAAACATTATGTTTGAAACTAAATCCTCATATATTTGATCTTTCTCTAACCCAAAATATTATAGCATATAAAGAATATAAATAAACCATTTATTACGTAAACACAAAACCAATTCTCAATAATAATTTGTTTCTTAAATACGAGTATATACTTCGCTTATTATCCGATAAAAACAAAAAGACTCTACAAATTCTTTAAATTACGCTCCGGCTAGGTATTTCGCCTGTGGTGATGAAGTCATTTTCTCTTAATGCTAGCAATAAAAATTTAATAGGCTACCTGAGGTAAATAAGCTACAGACTCAACTTTTGGAGAAGCTCCGTAAAAGCTCAGTTAAATATATTTATGTAAATGAAGTCTGTGTATTACCATAGTGGTAATTTTTTTTTAATATAATTTCATTACCAACAATACTTTCGCCAATGCAAGGTGTACTATTTAGTAGTATTTTGCCTTAAACGAATTTGTTTTTTTTTTAAGTACACTAAAGTAAAGTTTAAAAAATTATATTAATTTTATCAAGTATCTAAGTAGTTGGTCGCAGGTATGATATAAAATTTTATTAGGTCTATATTATCACCTATGAGATTTTAGTTATACGTTACATAGAGATAGATTAGAATTTTTGTCTGTCTGTCTGTCTGTCTGTCTGTCTATCTTTCTTAGAACACACCACGAGAAAAGTGCTGGGCAGATTTTGATGAAATTTGGTATGATGATATTTGGTTATACGTGTCAACATACATGATACTTTTTACTGCGGGAAAAATCTCATCTCTGAGAAACCTATGCTAAGCGTTAAAACGTAACTAGGGACGAATTCGAGCGGAGCGAGGGTGAGTCACTAGTACGAATATAATACTTAGTTCAACTTTGCCCATATTCCCATTTATTTCGTTGAAAAATAAATATATATAGGTTCAAATTTTTATTATTACAATACACAAATAAATATATAACAAAAATTCGTATGTCACAGCTAGTCATTGATAAATAAAACATTAATATTAATATTCGTAGCAAATAAATATGTTTCGAACATTCTACTTGGCTCAGAAACATAAATATTGAGTTTGGTCGGCCTCTACAAATCGAACACACTCGTCTATTTGCCTCGTCCCGACGCCGGTAAATAACTATTAAAACCGATCAACTCTATCAATATTTGTCCAGAGTCGAGGAATTTATTTTATTCAGTATGCAAAAACTGTACATGTGTCAATTTTATATGAGCTTTAGGCTTTTAAAATATCAAAATTATCTGTAAATATAGACAGAAGTCAGAGAAAATATTGCGCAACAGCGTAATATATTATCTATAGCATATTTATATGGCTAAATGCAGATTTTTTATTATCTATACATATAATAAAATTGTAACTAAACCGAATCTGTACATTAAATATTTTTTAGAAAATCTTATTGAAATAGACATTATTATCGATACCAGAGGCCGAATCTATAGTTTTTAGAATTTTTGTCTGTCTGCCTGTTACCGCATAACAGAAAAACCACTGGAGCGACTCTGATATAATTTTGTATGGTGATAGCTGGGTATCCGGGTCAACATATAGGATATATTTTACCACGGGAAAATATCTCATTTCTGAGAAAAATACAAAAACTGCAATGTAAGAGTATACTAATAAGTAAAATCTAAGAATTTGGTTTTTGGTCACCTGACCGCGGGCGGAGCCGCGGGCAATGCTAGTTAGATATAAGTTTTCTATAAAACTGAATATAAAATGAGTGATTGTAAAAGTTAATAATCGAATATAATATAATATTAATATAATACTTTCTTAAATTATACTAGTTTTATCCCTGGCTCTGTTCACGTGGAAAAAATTGTGATGAAAAAATATTTTAAATTTAATCGATTATATATTCCATCTTTATTTAAATTTTCACATAAAATCTGTTAAGCTGTTGCAGCATGAATTTTGATATAAGAAAGTCACAAAGTTTTAGTCAGTACGATTTTATCTCACGGATAGCTTTTATCTGTCAATTATTTTTGCAAAAATGTTTATTAAAATCTATTTAGAAAAATCAAATTAAAACTTTGTTTAACTTAAATATCAATTTTTACAAAATTATTAGTCTCTCGCCAAAATCGAATCTACGATCTCTAACGCTTTTGCTACATCAAGTGGAATATTACTAATATTAGTTCTCTAAAATATAATGTGTTTTTAAAAATCTTTTATATCATATTTAAAATACAACAAATACTGATGAAATGGACCTCTCATTCCTTTTCAATATCCAAACTTGTTTTAACACAGATCGATGTAACTTGTGAGAAGATTCATTTTAAAGTACTGTGTCTTATTTAATTCACTTATTTGGAACATAAAATCGATCAACAAAATACGACAACCTGATTTGTGCATTGTTTTGAATTTATTTGTATAGCGTCCAAACACAAACTGAATGCGATTTGCATTCATCCCATGTCATTATTTATAGTATTAATGACGGGACAGGACTGCGACAGACCGCCCGCGCGATATATCATTCTATTCATGCGCATTGGATCGTAGTTATTGTCATCTATTACGCTTTATGGTATGGTATGGTATATGGTATGGTATGGTATAAGACGGGCCAGTTTCCGCAACTCGACGTCTGCGCGCCTATTTTGCGTGTGTGGGAAATTTTCCAAATGTTTATTCTTGCCAGCCCAGTTCCTCCAGGAACTTCAGTAGTCTCTTCGTCCTACCGAAGACCTCCGGGAGTGTACTAGGGGTGCCAAGATGTTGAGCCCGGTACGCCGCTACACCTGGACAATGTAAAATCACATGTGCAGCCGTTTCATCTGCCCTCATGCAGGCTCTGCAGAGTGGGCTGTCAGTTATGCCTAAATTAAATAGGTGTTTGTTATAGGGTCCGTGGCCTGTTAGAGCCGCGGTTATCTGTCTGAGTTGAGATCTGTTGAGATTAATCAGACGGTTAGTCGTTTTAGTGTTAATGAAAGGAAGCGATTCCTTTGCTTGCCTGCAGTCTGCGACTTCACGCCATATATTTTCGTGTAGTCGTCTTGTGCGTTGTCGTATTTGACCTTTGAGCCAGCAAGAAGGTATTACGCTTTATTTTTTAACAATAACGTGTAATCTAATGCAGGTTTCTTTATACATGTAACAGCTCAGTGGTAGACCAGTGGTAACGCGCTCGCTTGGGTAATCGAGTGAAGTGGGTTCAAGTACTGGGTCTCGCACCTCTGGCATTTTATGTGCGAATCATTTTCAACATGATTACCGCTTGTCTTACGGTGAAGGCCAACCCGCACTTGGCTGGCGTGATGGACTGTGGCCTGATCCCCCTCGTATTAAAGGGAGGCCCGTACCCGGGGACGCCATGCGTGGGACTTTAAAAAGGAGTTAATACATACATATAACATATTTTACGCTTATATTATATTTTGTAAGCCAGGATATGAGGACATACGGAGCAGTATTAAAAGATTTGATAACTACGAGTACTTATTCATATTAATTGTTGATCGTATTATTCCAGCTATTCATTCTATCCAAGTTCTATATCTTCTTTTTACATTTATTTTACGATGCACAATAAAGACTTTTTTAAATAAATAATGTAACAATTATAATTGAAAACAAATTATCGGTTTGCATGTGTTTGTTACTCCTTAACACTATCAGCTCTACCTATTTAAGTTAAACTCGGAAAAAGATTGATATTCTGGCGGACTACTACATACATAGACTTTTTTATCGACACACCTGACATGCACATGAAGCTACGAGTAAAACTTAGTCAAATTTAAAATATACCTAAAGCAAATATTTATTTTAAAACTTGATACTTGATCTCTAAAAACTCTTAATCTGGATTTATTTATAACCTGAAATGTTACCGGTGGATCTAAAAGGACTCTTAAAAAAGCTATTAAATGTTTGCTCTGGCCGTACAAAGTTAATCCCGGGGAGAAAGCTGTCAACTAACCCCATAGTTATCAAAACCCTCAGGCTTTGATCGAAAAAAATGATAAACGGTCCGGATGGCGCGAAACCGCCAACCGCCAGGGGTGACACTTATTTAAAGGCTGCGATAAGTCCGAGTTAATACGGATTTTTTATTGCGACTTACATTAATACTGTGTTTATTAGATATTTCGAGAGCACTGAAGGTGTTGTCGTCATCTTTTATGTCGGGGGCGGGAAATAGATTTATTTTCGTTTGAACAAAATTTAGAATATCGAAGGATTTCTTAGATGTTTAATATTATGAAATGTTTGCTTCATATATAACCACTAACAAAATATTTATCAGAATATAATCATGTGTATCGAAGAAATATCACAAAATCCAAAATAGTATTAAATATAAATAATATTTGAAGTTTATGAACGTTTTTATACCAATTATGTACATTTTCTAATAAAGTACGAAACCATTTTACTCTCTTCTAATATTTTTCATTGCTTAGAAATTTTGATGCTATTATTTTCGTTTAACTAAAGTATTATTAAGAAAACAATAATTTCTCCATCTAGACGCCTAGCAAATGATGTTCTCCTAGCCGAGTCCGGCCACGGCGGCCAATCTCATTGCGACTAGCCAACTGCGCAGGAGATATTATAGTGCACAAGTGTACGCGCAGACACAACGTGCACTCTTTGTTCATGTCACTCTCATACTCTGGTGGGACGACTACTCGACACGACCGGTGAGAGTTAAGGCGCAGGACCGACGGCTTTACGTGCTCTCCGAGGCACGGGAGTGAAACACCGCTTGCCAACTCCGGGCTGTTACTGAGACTTACTATACAGAAAGACTCAATAACTAAACTTGGCTCGACCCGGGACTCGAACCCAGGACCTCCGAGTGTGCAGCCGTACATGCTAGCCACTACACCACCGAGGCAGTATAAGCCTAGCAAATAATACTGTACCAACATAACCTATTGTACATATAACATAATACGCGCACATTTAATAAAGGCGTTGGCACTCGCCCTGAATAAATAAAATCCACTAATTTCGGAAATCCGTGGGAACGAACGCGCAATCGATAGAAAAAACTATCCAGGGGCACCAACCACCCCGCGGTGATAGAAGTGACGTGTGCACGTGACGGCGCCCTACGGGTTGTCACACGACTTGACATCATATAAAATAATGTAAACAGAATAATGAGGTTGTTATTTATGACCGTATGTTTTAATAATATTTTTGACTTATAATTTTATATACAACTAACTCTTGCATGTGGCTTTGCTTGCCCGTATTTAGTATTTAGTTCCGTTTACTTAATTGAACCCTGTTTTATATTGGTGCGTAGAACAAAGACTTCTCCCTCCGCACTGCATCGTTGCGATAAAAAGTCCCATTAAAACCCATTGAAACGAGTGCTACGTAATTAAATAGACAGATTCAAACACTAATAAACTAAACTACTGGCATAATGGCTTTTGTGATATACAAAAAATATTTATTCGTCACAATTTAGTACCTGCTTCATTTTTTAATAAAACTAGCGACTTATCCACACGTTGCTCGGGTTTCTATCTGTTTTTTTTGAACGTGACGAAAAAATATACACGCATACAAGCTTGATAATCGTATTTATACGGATACGTTATAAATAGAAGTTCGATATTATTTCTAACAAAGTAATTTGAGTAGTTTGACCATAACATTTGCTCAACTTTGCCTGAATTATTAATCTATAGGTACATATAATAAAATTGTAACTAAGCCGAATCTGTACATTAAATATTTTTTGGAAAATGTTATTGAAATAAACATTATTATCGATACAGAGACCGAATCTATAGTTTTTTCAATTTTTGTCTGTCTGTCCATCTGTTACCGCATCACAGAAAAACCACTTGAGGGATTTTGATGGAATTTGGTATGGTGATAGCTGCCTTTCCGGGTTAACATAAAGGACTACTTTTTACCGCGGGAAAATACCTCATTTCTGAGAAAAAATATAAAAACTGCATTGTAATATGTAAAACCTAAGAATTTGGTTTTTGGTCACCTGAGCGCGAGCAGAGCCGCGGGCAATGCTAGTATACTAATAAACTGAGTTCTAACCAAGTTAAAATTTATTAACTTAAGTACTATATTACATTTGAGACAAAATAAATTGTACTACGTGTTATGTTAAATGTTACCAATATCTTGTTTCTTCGTGTTGATTGCACCAATTAAGCTAATATGAATAAAATTGTCAGAATAAAAATATTTCCGAACAAATATTCATATAAAGTCGCCCCACGCCAAATGATTACGACAAGCTCTTATCGAATATACTCGTACCATTGAGTGAGAGCCATCACTTACACACATGTCTTTACTGAGTAATTGGTTGTAATGAAAGAAGTTTTAAAGAATATATTATATAATTTTACACATCGCTTAATCTATATTATTATATACATATGTAAATAAGATAATGTTTTTTTCAGGGCAAGGCTGTGGTAGTCTAGTGGTAATGCGCTTACTTAGGAAACCGAGTAAAGCGGGTTCAACTCTCGGTCTTGCACCTCTGATATTCTTCATGTGCGATACATTTTCTGACATGATTTTTATCTTAAGGCTAGCGACTCACCGTTGCTTCGCTCAGGTTCGTCTTTAGCTTGATTCCCCATACAAACTTTCATCCTAATTTTCACCCCCTTAAGGGATGGTTTCTGGGATAAAAAGTATCCTATGTCCTTTCTAGGGTCTCAAACTATCTCTTTACAAAATTTCATCTAAATCGGTTCAGTAGATCCCGAGATTACCCCCTACAACGTCACAAACTCACAAAATCACAAACTTTACCCCTTTGTAATATATAAGTATAGATGAAGGAAAACATCATGAGGAAACCTGCATGTCTGAGAAAACCTAGTAAGTTTCAAAAGATATGTGGAGTATCCTAGAAATGATTCACACATGAAAATATCAGAGGTGCGAGACTCGGGATTAGAACCCGCTTCACTTGGTTTCTTTACTTGGTTTACTACTGGGCTACCATTGGCAATAAAGATGTATTGATAATGATCTATTTATGATTATCGATATGCAATCTGACATCATTGTAATGTTAGCCGTGTGTGTATTTATGAGATTACTCGTAATGTGAAGTGAATCCGACAAGCGTGCTCGGTTCAATACAACCCGCGTCCAATGTTCATTCATTGCTGAGTTAGCCGCTTACATATCTAATTAGATTATTTCTTTTAACTTTACTGTGTACCATGTCGGGCACTTTAAAGCTTATTACACTGTAGTACAGTACAAGTGTATAGGAAATATTATTTATTGCTTCGTTGGTGACAGAATCTATTCCCATTAATATTTTTGAGATAATTTTGAAGTATTATTGTGTAAAAACTTCAAATCGATCATTTATTTTAGGTATCCGAGACATTCTTTTTGAAAAATAACTCTTATTGAAATAGTTATTACTATCGATACAGAGGTCGAATCTATAGTTCTTAGAATTTTTGTCTGTCTGTATGTCTGGGAACGCATCACGAGAAAACTACTGGACAGATTTTGATGGAATTTGGTATGATAATAGCTGGTTATCCGGGTCAATATATAGGACTTTTTACTGCGGGAAAATACCTCATCTATGAGAAATCTATACTCGCGTTAAAACGTAAGTAGGGGCAAACCCGTTCGGCGCGAGGGTGAGTCGCTAGTATTATATAAAATAAAATATTAAGCTTTTTTACAAGTAGATAAAGTAATTTCGTATATGATTTCAAATTACATATCGATACAATACCTCATTCCAACCCTTGTAATAAAATGTATTCCTTGATAGTAAATCTCATGTTATTTGTTAAAAAAAAGTTTTCCTATACGAATATAGTACAGGTAGTATCTCGTTTCCTCGCAGGATAAAGTTTGGGCGGCTTGTGGTTTCCCTTCCAAGTACTTCAGGGGTTTCTATATGTTTAGCGACGTGTCTGTTATTATACGGGAACTATCGTAGTTACAAACATAAGTGTTTGATGTAGACCTTTACTCGTATACTTTGGTAAATCTAGATATATATTATAAATATAACAAAACTTAACTTAAAACTACTCGTATAATTAGGAATTTAACGATTTATAATAACTTTTTCTCTTCAAATCCGTCCCTAATGAAAATTAAGAATTAATATTATGTGTTTGTCCATCTGTCACACTCTGTTCTCTGTAAATTTACTATACACATTTATATTTGAAGTGTATAGTATTTTACTCTTATATAATTGCTCCAGCCCTAAGGTTTGTAGCGTGATGTTAATTAAAGTTTGAAAGAAATTTTTATTTATAAAAAAAATACAACATAGTTCATTTAATATTAGGAAAATTATATAATAAAAAAACTTATGTAGCTAATCATGCTGCATTGCTTCTCAATACTTAAGTAAGCTTGAAATATTTTTAATATAAGTATAAAATACTAGCGCCACACATTCGTCCATTTTAACGGTTAGTATGAATATCTCACGGGAACCGTATCTTTTTCCGGGATAAAAAGTAAACTATGTGCTATTCCAGACTATAATCTATCTCTATTTCAAATTTCATCCAGATCCCTTCAGCCGTTCTGGCTTGATTGTGTAACAAACATTCATCCAAACATTTTCGATATTTATTATGGAATAAAGAAACCTGACCAGAGAATAGTGAGTTCAAACAAAAAATATCTCTCCAGCTTATAATAGTCTTAGAAATAAGACCAGAAGTTATTTTTTTTAATACAAATTTATTACTACCCTCAAGAAAACAATTTACAAATCAAATTTACTTTGAAAACAATTAATTTTAACAAACCAAAATTAAATGAAACGAAAACTAAAAATGTAAGACCTCTAAAACAATTACAACAATTACGTAACAATCTAACGAAAAACCTGACGGACAGAATGACGTTGCCGAGATGTTGACCCGATGACAGCCGAACAGCAAAAGCGAGCGCCGGGCGCTGGCGCTGCCTTTTATACGTTTTCCTCACTCTCCTATCTTTCAACTTCTACACGGCCTTTCCTGACGGGAGACCGCCCTCGGACTCCTCCATCTTCTAACTCTGGAGATTAGTCTCCAGCATTGGCATCGAAGGCTCTGTGCTGTCATCGCTCGACGTGAAGGTGGGTGACGCAGCAGGCTCTTCGCCATGTATCTGCGTCCCTGACGTACTAGGTTGCGGCTCACTCGCGTCACTAGGAACGTCAACATTGTAAGGCTGGGTAACGCTAGGAGCTGTCGACTCCTCGTCCTCTGCATCTGCACAAAACGAAATAACAACACAGAATAAATTCACAAAAGGAAATTATCCAAGTTAGAAAATTGTTAGTCAGCGCAAAAGGTTATCATCCAACTTTATGTACTTGTAAGCTAAACTGACAAAATAGAACAGTCTAAACACAGCGGATATAAAACATACAAATATAAGTACCAATCACCCGGGGCAGTTCCCGTCGGGGGAGTGCACCCTCATGACTCGATAGAGGTCTATGCGGACTTACATGAGACATAACTTTGCATGTGTGAATCGGTACCCATAAAAACATGTTTCAACTCAAACTAACAAAAATAAAACCACGGACAATGTCTGCCCCGCAGACATATGCCACACACACCACGACTCGTCAGAGGCCAACTCGTGGCATGACCCTGCGTGTACACAGCTCCAGGACCACATGTCTGAGCAACTCCAAGACAGTATCCGAGCACACAAACAAAGCACAACAACCCTAAAAAAAAACTTTCACAAAAAAAAACATAAAAAGTTACAAATTAAACGTAACAGTAGACAGAGGTCCCGGCATAGACATGTCCACAAAATCTCAAATAAAAATGAATTAACTAAATGCCAAAATGAATGAATTAACCCACCATTAAACATAGCAGAGCACACATCGGGAGTCCACTCTCCTTGCCACAGAATCATGTATTCCGCAGCCGCTTGCGTTGATTTCCCGTACGAGCCGGCCACGAGCTGAAGCTCATAACGACCGTGGGGAAGAACTTTCACCACACGGTAGGGCCCTCGCATACAGGAATCCAGCTTCCCAGTCGATTGTGCCTGTTTTCTAACAAAAACCAATGAGTTGACTTCAAAAGTACGAGGCGGCTTACGACCTTGGTTAACGTATGCATCTTGACGCTCTTGATTCGAACGCAGTAATTCAGATGCTCTCTGGCGACGCATTTCACGTAGGGCTTCCCTGTTCGGGCTGGAACCCTCAACAGCGACGTCACGGACCAGACTCCGGATGAGTGGTGTTGCAGCATCAATACCAATCAACAAGCTTAGGGCTGAATTCTGAGTTGTACTATGCTTAGTGATATTGAGGATCAACTGCAACTTCCACATCACATGCGGCCACTTCCGCTGTCGATAATTGCACTCTATGCGCACCATATTGAGCACCGTGCGACAGTAACGTTCCACCTGCCCGTTGGATTGATGCATTTCAGGCGTGATCAGGTGCGTGTCACCACCCATGTCTTTGACCCAATTGATAAAGTCGGTACATTGGAACATTCGGCCTCTGTCAGCTACGACTAGCTTGGGTGTTCCGAAAAGGGAAATGAAGTTGGTGAAATGTCGCTTTAACTCGTCAGTATCTTGTCGATACATTGGGTACAATAGACAAAACTTTGAAAATGCATCGATAACGATGAGAACATAACGATAACCGTCAGCTTCAGGCAATGGACCTAGTACATCCATGTGAATCGTATCAAGGGGCACGTCTGGTTTCTCCCAGGAATGAATGGGCTGTAGGGGAGCGCGGGCAACTTTCTTGTATGAGAGGCACACCAAACAATGCGTTATGTACTTGGAAACAAAAGCTCTCAACCCCGGAAACCAAAAGTGTTTCATAATAAGATCCACTGTCTTCTCTACCCCAGGATGCTCATGTTCATCGTGGAATATACGTAAAAGGCTGAGTCTGTGGCCTTTAGGAATAAAGCACAACATTTTAGGATTTTCACCAGTAGGTGTATACTTGAAGTAAAGTACATCGTTCCTAACTTCGTAGCGAGAAGGATCCAATTGTCTATCTGATAATTTCTGAATAAGGGACCGGGTCTCTTCATCAGAAGCCTGAGCAATCTGAGCCCAATTCAGAGGTTTTTGAATGGTAACCATGTTAACTGGGTTTCGACTAAGATAGTCGGCATGGGACAAAAGGGTACCTTTGCGATATTGTAAGACAAAATCAAAGTCTTGGAGGTACACCCACCACCGGGCCACCCTAGGCAATAAGTCTCTCTTACGCTGGGTAAGTTTCAACGCATTGCAGTCGGTAACCACAGTAAAGCGTAAACCCACAAGATAATGCCTAAAATACTGGAGAGCCTTAACTACAGCCAGCGTCTCCAGTTCATACGAATGGTATTTACCTTCAGCTCCCTGTGTAAGTCTGCTAAAGTAAGATACCACTCGCTTACGATTACCTTCGTGTACTTGTAATAAAACAGCTCCATAACCAATAGAGCTCGCGTCCGTATGGACCTCTATTGGCAATGAAGGATCATATATAGCAAGCACTGGCTCACTCGTCAGACATTCAACAATGTACTTTCGAGCAGCTTGTTGTTCTAATCCCCAGTTAAAGTTCACACCCTGTTTAGTTAACGCGGCAATACAAGCAGTTTTCTGGGCAAAGTCAGCTATGTAACGTCTAAAATAGCTGGCTAAACCCATGAACTGACGAACCTGCTTAACATTCTGCGGTTCAGGTGTGTCAACCAAAGCCCTAACTTTTTCGTGACTCGGCCTAACCTGACCTTCGCAAATTGTACGCCCTAAGTATTCGATCTGAGTTGATAAGAAAGAACACTTCTTCAAATTTATTGAAAACCGGCTCTAGTTAATGCACTCAAAACTTTGCGGAGCAGAACTAGACCCTGATCCACGGTCCTACTTAAAATAAGGACGTCGTCAATGTAAACAAGAATATCGCCAGATTCAATGAACTCGCGAAGTGTTTTAGTGATGATTCGCTGGTAAACTACCGGAGCATTTGCCAAACCATAAGGCATTTTCAAATATTGATAATGTCCCTCTGGCGTGACAAATCCAGTTAGCGGCACCGAGTCCTGGTCCAGTGGAATCTGATGAAATCCAGTAGCCATGTCTAGACTACTAAAGTACCTATTGTGTCCTAAGCGGTCTATATGGTCATCAATCCGCGGTAATGGAAACCGATCTTTAACCGTAATATCATTGAGCTTACGAAAGTCTACACACATCCTATCCGTCCCGTCTTTCTTTTTGACAAGAAGGATAGGGCTTGCGTACTCCGACTCAGATTCCTCAATTATGCCTTTGTCCAACAGTTCTTTAATTATTTCACGAACACGAAGCGTCTCGGCATGTGAAAGACGGTACGGACGGTAGTAAACTGGGGTACTGGAATTTAATTTAATCGACATACACCCTGTATTTACTGTCGAAGTAGCAGTACCGGAAATAAAAAATGTTGAAAAGTCATTAAACTATTTGTAGCAGCCTTTGTAACTCAATACCAACGAGAGGTGTATTAATTGAAATAGCTTTAGACTGAATCGTCATTACTTGATCTAAACAATTATTAACCCTAGTTAGTGACTGACGACCCTTAGTGCGAACGTACTTAACACCGTCTCTATTTAAGACGTCCGTACCTACTATAACCGGGACGTTCATGTATTCGGATGACACGACGAACAAATCTACTTCGAGAGTTAAACCATCGAATTCAATCGGCAAAGTAACATAGGAGGTACTCTCCACTTCCTGACTACCTAAACCCTTCAAAATTCGAAGACCTGGCTTTCGCGGACAGTTAAAATATTTCAGCAAAGAGGAAGCAATCAGCGATACAGTTGAACCGCTATCAATAAGGACATCTACAGGGATGTCCTGAACAACGGCTACCACTACGTCGCTATTGTTAGCAGTCACCAACAAATTACAAAAATTAACTGTATCTTTGCTTGCTACATCGGACCGTTGTTTGGCGAAACAAGTGTCCTCTTTATGACCTGGTTTCTTACAAAACGAGCACGGTTCGTATCTAGTCGGCACAAAAGCGGGCTTCGGAGTCGCGGAATTAGAAGTGGCTGCAGAACTGCTCGAGCCTCTATCAACTCTAGGTCGTTTAGTGCACGAAGCCTGCCTATGCCCCAACTGTCCGCACAAGTAACACTTTATATCACTACTACGTCGTTTAGCAACGTCAAAGCTCTGTTTATCTTTGGTTCTATTATACGGAACCGAACGCGACATAGAACTCTTCGAATTGTTCACCGGCTTAACATAAATCGAGAAAAATTCAACTAAATCGTTTGGTAGCAGTTTGGCATTTGTTGCCGCCGCACGAATATTAGGATCAGTAATACCGCGTATGATTATAGCCGAAATCAGTTCGTCACTCAACCCACGTACTATACGTAAGCGGAGTAAGGAACGGCGTGCGTAGTCCGCATAAGTAGTGTACTTATCGGAGTTCGTGTTAATTACCTCCGCTAAAATACCCGCGATATCAGGTGTTTTCGGACACAATGGCCTAAATTCCTTTTTAAAATTACTCCATGTACGATCAGTTGTTACCCACTCGTTCAACCACAATCGTGCATCACCCTTTAAACAATTACCGATTCGCGAAAGGCATTCAAAATCGTTCCAGTTATTGAGGGCCCTAGCTCGATCTACCTCCGCACACCAATCATCAATGTTGTGTAGGTCGGGATCGAAATTAGAAATGTAAAAGTGTTGGCTAAATCTACCCGCGTTATTAATAGAATTAATCACATCTACAATACGATCAGTAATGGTAGAATGCATCGACGCATCCACCTCGCTACCACGACGTGGCGATCTGGATCGAGAACGTCGGCGTTGACTAACTTCTCGAGTAGGCAACACGTGGTCACGCGACCGCGATGTCGTATACTTATTAGGGGATCTTGACCTACACCGCGGCGACAACGGACGACGTACACTACGTGAAACCGTGCGATCAGGCGATCGCGAGATATTGCGCCCTAACAATCGTGTTTGCCGGCGCCGCGATGGCGATCTATCGTGCACATTTTCTGACACTAACACATCACGAACACTAGAACCCGCCATGTGCTCACTCGAACGCGCTGGAATAGATGTAGCCCTAGACTTATTTTCTAACGCACTAAGACGAGCTATCATTGTTCTCATTTCGAGCCTCAACCGAGTATTCTCGTCAGGAGATCGTTCACGACGTCTACTATCACTCCGATCACGGTCACTGCGACGCTCATGACTGGGGCTGCGACTACCGCGACGGCTCGCACTACGATCACGCTCACGATCTGACATTGTAACTAAATCGAAATAAAAACAGAATCGCAAAACCTATTAGTAAACACAATCACTACACAAATACCTATGTATTCACTAACCACCACCAAATATTGCAACTAACTTGTACACTCGCGAAAATAGAACGTAAACAAAGAAACAAAAAATCAGAACTAAGAAAATCAATCAACAACAGTAAAACAACAAATGAAGTGGGCTAAATGAGACCTATCCCACTTCTGATCTTATAAATAAGACCAGAAGTTATTTTTTTTAATACAAATTTATTACTACCCTCAAGAAAACAATTTACAAATCAAATTTACTTTGAAAACAATTAATTTTAACAAACCAAAATTAAATGAAACGAAAACTAAAAATGTAAGACCTCTAAAACAATTACAACAATTACGTAACAATCTAACGAAAAACCTGACGGACAGAATGACGTTGCCGAGATGTTGACCCGATGACAGCCGAACAGCAAAAGCGAGCGCCGGGCGCTGGCGCTGCCTTTTATACGTTTTCCTCACTCTCCTATCTTTCAACTTCTACAATAGATTATAGATTATAACTTAATTTTGATTATAACTTAATTTTGATCATAAAAATATCTTTTAAATTTCTAATCTCATTCTTTAATCCGTAGACCACACATGAGGCTAGTGCTGGGCTCTCTGGCGATACGCCAAACGTTAACAACGTGGACCTAAATGGTTGGTTCGCATAATAATTACATTTGATGGACAGACGTGACAGGCGTTTTAACTTTACTAGTTAGGTTTTTGTTCAAAAAACGATTAATTAGTGAGAGATGGGATACCGGATAAGGATAAAATGTAGAAACTATCTTTGGGTTATAAACATCCAGTAGATAGGTATATACCTGATATTTTAAAGCAGGCTAGGTAATTATCGATGTACCTAAATATTTTTCACATAAACTTAGTATAAATATGGATGCAGGATAGGATTGTATCCTATATCCTTATTAGTAAGTTCCTATATTAGGTAAATGATACATAGATGCTTAACGGCTATGGGAATTGTGGCATTGTTTATATTTAGTGTAGGTATTCTATACCTTATGGTGGATCACATGTACTTACCGTTAAAATAGTAATTTCCTAATATTATAAATAAAAATTAGTGAAATTGTACAGGCATTAACAACCTTCAGTTGTTAATATTGTAATTTTATATAATTTTCTTTGTTTTAAATAACTTTAATCATGTAAATATCCTATATTAGTATTATATAGTTTAAAAAAAAAGTTTTTCATCTAACTTAATCATAGAGCATGCATATGGGAAGAAGCGCCATTCCCAACACAAGTATCCTCGGATTACTTACTGGGAAGACTCGAACACAAAATGTAAAGATGATTAAGAAATAAAAACTTTTTTTTATGGTACTTTTGCTGATGGTAGAGGATTCGAGGACATAATTATTTTAATTATAGACATTCTTAAGCGAAGTCGCTTGCGACAGCTAGATAAGAGTTTATCAATAGTTTATTTCAACTGATAAAGCTGTTCTCCAGTTGATTGTCGGCTCCTGTTGCAGAATTAACATACCTGCGTACCATTGCGGTAGCGGTGGTAGTACGACTGATTTTAAGAGAAAAAAATAATAATATGATAAGTGAGTTTGACTCACAAACCGAGGGTTCCCTAGCTTGTTTCATACATTGAAGTAATTTTATAAACGCATTTTTTTTTTATAACTACAAATTTACGGTTTTTGAACGGAAAGACAGACAGACGAACGAACAGATAACAAAGTGATCCTATAAGGGTTCTTTTTATTTTCATTTTGAGATACGGAACCCTAAAAACAGTTGATAAAATCTGTAAAATATTAGTTAAATAAACAAAGTTTCGTCATTTAAAGCATAATATTTGATCCCAACCTGAACTACGATACAATATATAATTCGGTACAATAATAAGCTCTAATATATTATACTGTTCATTGTATCATTACACAGCTAGTGTAGGAATGTGTCTAAATACGGGGAAATAAATTATTGGACACAAAAGGTGGATTAAGTGCTCGGCCACGGCTCAATGAAACGTTCGAGATACATTGTTGCGTGTTCCATACATCCCCTTAATTATTAGAGCGTGTTCTTTTAAGTAATATACTAATAAATAAACATATATTTTAGGATACAAGCCTTTAGAAGGTGCCTATTAGTAAAATACTCTTCAAAAATGAATAATAATAGCTTCACGTTATTTTACTTGCTATTACTACTTATTTTTGATTTTATATCATCATTTAGTACGGTACTCGGTTATTATTCGTGACAGACAGTAAGTCCCACGGGATTCTCTTCGGTAATAAAAACAAAAGCTTAAATATCAATTTCCATATTTCTACCTTAAAATATGATATTGAAATTTCATATAATCAAAAATTTCATCCCCTATATAATTTAATGGGGATGATTTGTTTAAAAACCTCCCATAGAAATAATTTTCGTTAACTAGGAACTGTATATGCAAAATTTCATATTTCTAGTTCCAAATTTTAGTTTATATGCTATCTGTTAGTGATTGCGTTAAAAACTATATTAAATAGAAAGTCATATTAGCTCTAATACTGAAACTGTAATATCTACATATATATTAATCTTTAAAACTGCCTCGATGTTGTAGTGGCTAGCATGTACGGCTGCACACCCGGATGTCTTGAAGAAAACTAAAAATATTATAATATGTATAAATAAAACAATTTCTTAGTTCTAAGGCAATAATAAATTGGTAATAAAGTTATAAAGTAACAAAGTATGAAAAGATTTAAAATTAATTTTATCAGCGAATTGCATTCGAGCTTTTCTAAATGAAGCTCTCGAAGTGGAGACGTCGAAGTTACAGAAACTTTGAGTCTTGGCAAAAACTATTCAAAAGCCGAAAGAGTATTTCATATCAATAAATCGGATATTTTAGAACTGGTCATAAATCTTGCAGTTCGGTCCGGAAATTCAAAGGTTTCGTTCCACGTCGCCGGCTTACATTCTCGTTGGACGTACTGTTTGACCCTTACAAGTTGAGACAGTGAAAGTAATAGAAGGTTTAGTAACGCAATTTTTATTTATAAGTATAATATGAAAATAATTATAATAGGCTTTTAGCGAAAAAATAAGCTATACGTTTGCTAACATCAGTGTAGTTAGCCTCAGAGGAGGCTTGCCGTAGGCCTCGAATGTAGTTTTGCTGAGAAGAGACGGCAGAACAATATAAAGTTTGTATGTTTTCCAAGCAGGCGGTCACCTCGTAACAAATATAAGTACATTGTATTGAATATAAATATTGTAATCGACTATTATTATATGTGCGAAAGTTTGTATGTTTGTTACTACAGTTTTGACAACACGTTTGGCTCAGTTTGTAGTGTCTACCCCTACCCTACTTGCTGTGCCAGCCGTCGCGGGTTCGAGTCCCGTTAGGGGCATTCATTTGTGTGATGAGCATGAATGCTGTACTCCAGTCATGCGTGTTCATATATATAATATCTATGTATTTAAAGATATATATGTGTAGTGTATCAACTATCTGGTATCCATAACACAAGCCTCGTAGCTTACCATGGAAATAGAAGGTGCTGTGTGTTAATGTCCCAATATATTTACTCTTTCATGCTTAAGTTTAGACGGATTTAGATGACATTTAGTATACAAGTACATAAGGATGCATCTTGGAAAAGCGATGGTAAGCCGTTAGTAAAAAATAATTGTATCATTTGTTGTAGTTTTAATGAAATACACGTTGAATTTAAGGTTAGTTTGTAAATATTTTCTAAGGTCTAAATATTATAATGTGCCCTACTTTAGGTAATACTTTGCGGTAAATCGATCGATCGCTTTAATAATCAGCGCTAGTGTTTAAGCCTCTTCCGAGTACAGCTTATGAAGGTAAAATATGGAAGTAAATAAACTTACTTATTTAATATTCAAATAACGTTAGGGAAATGTTAATAGCAGGCAGCTTTTTAATTACTTTTCTTTGCATTAAACTATTTGAAAAAGATTCTTAACTAATATTTTATATGAAAAATTGTATTTATTGATTTATGTTTCTTATTTGCACCAAAGAATTTGTATTGAATTTACGTGATTCATAAATTAACTAGCAAGAGTTGCCTGCATGATTTATTCAATTAAAAATTTTGTAGTTAATAGTATAAAATATAAAAAAATATGCGCATTGTATTTATCTATACATATAATAAAATTCTAATTAATCCGAATCTGTACATTAAATATTTTTTGGAAAATGTTATTGGAACAGTCATTATTATCGATACAGAGGCCTAATCTATCTATAGTTTATAGAATTTTTGTCTGTATGTCTGTTACCGCATCACGAGGAAACTACTAGACAGATTTTGATGAAATTTGATATGGTGATAGCTGGTTATCCGGGTCAACATATAGGATAATTTTTACTGCCAGAAAATATCTCATCTTTGAGAAATCTATACTAAACATTCAAACGTAAGTGGGTACGAACCCGAGTGCGAGGGTGAGTCGCTAGTTTATTATATAAATATAAAAGGCGACTTTATACAGCTTTCGTTATATACAGTACAGAAACGTTTACTGTATATGCTGTTTTTGTCGCGGATGGAACCGATGTGTATTTGCAAGGAAATGGCTCGAGATGTTTGTTCTCGATACTATAGTTTCTTATACAAACGTGTGCAGTGTTTTCTTTGTTCATTTTATTTCTTCTACGTATTCTCATGAATATATAAACTTCATAGTATAATATTGGTATTTTTTTTCGTCAATCCTTTTTAAGAAAAAAGCCAGCCAGCTCGATAGAAGTGTAAGTATTCTTAAAATTTATCCACTTATTTTCGAATACGAGATTAAACAGACAGACATACAAAAATTTAAATGATATAATGATATAAAATAAAATGAATAAGTAAAAGACTTAATACATAGCAAATATCTCTTTCACTCTCAAACTACGGTGGGGAAATTTTTCCACACGGCAGGTAATAG